TAATATATGAAGTCTGCTTATGTTCGTGTTTATCATTATTACCGTTATTAATATCATTAATAATTCCCCGACACATTAGATATTCTCTTTATCTCTTCTTATCCTTCTAAACATATTTAACTCCAGATTGTCCTTTGAAATCATTTTGACTTTCATATCATCAATCTTAATTATTATTGCACAAATATTCGTACTAATATCCGGTTTCATTCTGTATACTATTACATAAATCTAAGTGTATTCATCCGAGTGCTTTAAAGGACTTTTATTTTTTCAATTGCTGGTTTCCTTCTGAGGTTGATATTCATTACACAATTATTATTCTTATCATGGATGAACCTTTTCACTAGGTGTTCACTTCTTTTCTCTCTCTTCTTCCCTTCTAAATAAATCTTATTCTTAAGATTATGAAGTTTCTAATTAAGACAATAACTTGTGTTACACTTTAATTAACTTCTCAGATTCGTTTTATCTTCACTATGCATATATGACTCATACAGAGTGATATTTTATTATCCTTTTCACTTAATTGTGACTTTCATAGCATCACTCTAAACTATAACTGCACAAACATTTATTCTAGTGTCATATCTTACTACAATGAAAAATTATTTTTTGTTACTAATTTAACGATACACACATAGTCGTTTATTCTTGTTCTGTGTTTATAAACACGCCTATTACACTGTTTGCGTATTTCACGTCTCCTTTATTTCTATTCCCTTATTTTCTCCATTTCCCTCTTTAAACTCAATTCAATATTCTTCTCAATTACACAGACCCGATTTATTATTATTAATATTCTACTATTATTATTCTAAATTATTTTTTATATTTTATTTTTTAAATATGGCAAGTATAATGCTAACATTATTGAAAATTGTGTATTATTGCATTTTCTGAAGAAACCCGAAATGGTTTCTTCACAACACTTATGTACACATAAGATGTTTGTGAATAATAATAATAATAATAATAATAATAATAATAATAATAATAATTCCTCTATGCTTTTAGATATGCCATGGTTAACCATAAAGTTGGACCCTGAAAGGTCAGAGCCTTTAATATTCACTGACGTATCATTTTTCATATAATCACGAATAATCCTGGATTCTTGAGATGATTCACAGTTGTCTCTATCCTGATTCCAAATCATTACACAACCAGACTGTTTTTTTTAACAAAAATGAGTAACCACAGTATATCGCTCCAAGCACAGTTCTGAATTGATACTTTCATTAAAGGTTATCCATAAATTACAGTTGCTTGTACGTCATTATTTGTCTGTCTGTGAAGTGAGTGTAGAGGCTCGAAGATATATTTGATAGAGTATGAACATATCGACAAGTGACTAATCTAAGCTGACTAGTAGTTCTAGAAGAAGTTGAGCACAGCATACTCATTCGTGATCTGAAGCAGATGAATGACCGAGCGCCACCAGCTAGGTGAGTCCACTGAAACGAATGAGGTCGGCATCAAATGTCGAATACTTACAGAATTATTTATTCTGACGATTAATTTACCACTACAGTTGTGATTGGCTTAAATATGAGCTATAAATTCATCAAAACGTTTTAGCAAACCTTCATAGCTTGTAAGAAATCACTTCCTCGATGGTTTTTAATAAGGGCAGAATTTAAGCTTTCCTTATTGAGATGAACATACTTTTATTTATGCAATTTCATTACTGTTTTATTTATGTATCATCTGGAAATGCTTCACTGAAAGAACGTATCTCCTCTCTTCTCGGAGTCTAAGAGAATCGATGTTTGTTTTCGGGGTTTCGACATTTTCTGCTTCACCATTAGAATGAGACGGCTTTAGAGTTGTGCTCAATTATTTGCATTTAGACTATGTAATTAACGAGTTATCACGCGTTTCCCTAGAACCATTTTAAATAGTCAAAAAAGAAGAGTGTTCTGGGAACATTCTTAAATTTTCCAGACCACGGATGGAGGCAAGGTAAAAACGGTAATCCCTTTCAAATCTATCCGCCGTTTCGTTTCAACGACCTTGAACGCGCTGACTGGAAGCGGTAATTCCGTATTTCAATTGCCGTGTGTGTGTTGGGTCCTATGAGTATTAAATTTTTCCATATATAAGTCATCTTTTGATGCATAATAAACACTAAATAACTGCTAAGAGCATTAATTGAGTATTTTCTGTTTTGTAGTGCACACTTTAGCCCTGTTGTTCCTTCGGAACTTGATCTGTGGTCCTAAGTGCTGTAGTGAAAGTCAACAGCTATATATAATTTGTTGATAAGGTCCAGAAAACAACGTAAGAAAGATAAAATAACGTAAAAGGTTATAGATACGCATAGTTCTTGTGAGTTAAGACGAAATGTCAACTGAAGGGTAAGTCCTAAATATTTGTTGTTCTTCCTTCAGTTAATTTTTTCCAAGAAATAACCTTTTTTTAATGACTAACAGGTAAGCTATTTAAATTATAAAATATAAACTGCATAGCTCATCAACTTCTTAGGTGTTGCTGCAGATGGAAATTAGACAATACGCACAACTTACAAAACAACACGTCAATTTCATTACCGAGACGGAGTAAAGAATATATACAACTTCAGCGGCTCCAAAAAATGTGCAAACAACAAATTGTTGAGAAATATGGTGAACATTTCGCGAATCAGGTGGAGAGAAAAGTCTATAACTTTTACTTAAGAATTATAAACAGCTAGACAGCAGGTTTACGATTAAAAGTTCTTTGTGGCTTTATTTTAGACCACTATTTATACAACTTGTAAACTTATCTTTCCACTTTAGTAGCCATGAAAAATCAATAAACTTTTTCTCATTTTTTATTTTCGTCTTCATACTTTCATGGGGAGGTTTACCAATCGCTTTAACTAATAATTGTGTGTGAAAATTAAGAATTTGTACTACTGCATTAGTTACGAACTGTCGTTAGAACTTAGCGTTATATCGTTGTTCATTGTGACGAATCAACGAGTCACATAAAACAATAATGCGACTTCCACGTAAAACCTTACAGATTAAACAACCGCCTTACATATTATCCGTTGTCAGATTACGTCCATTATCAAGTTAGTATTAGTGCGGAACTAGACAATTTCATACAGCTAGTTCCGTGATAAGATGGATTACGTAATCCTTAGACCACCCTTCCACTCACACTTCTTTGTTAAATTATGTTAACTCTTCAGATTGTATTCACTTATCTTATTAGTTCTTAATTCACTGATTTATTCATTACATCTAGAATTATCACACAATTTATCTTATGTGCTTCTGAGCTTCACTCGACTATTACACCACCCATCCTTTATGTTCCCTTAAGTCTAACACCAAATGACCTGTTCAAGCATATACATATGTATAGTTATTATTGATAACCTAAGTCATTCCAATTCTTTGCTTTTGAGATGGTGGAAAAGATTTGTAGCTCAGGTGGATGATTTTGGTGGTGTTTTGTTCTCTGAGCTGGATGGTTTGGTCGTGGAGCTTTCATCGTTCTTCTGAACGACATCATCAGCACAAACTTGATTTTGTATTAGTTGTTTGAGAGTTATGAAGGGAAGTGAAATAGGCTTATCTGGGAATGCCGAAGATTTGTTGAGCTGTAGGCATCCTTTCCGATGACGTTGAGCCACAATTTAACGATCCTTAGCATTCTTCTTGGTCATGCTCCAAATCTTAAACCTTGAGAAAGATTCCCATATGTATATCCAACTGTATTCACAGGCTCAATCACGATGCCTATATAATAATTAGAAGTACTCGTAATAATGTGCTAACTAGGAATTCCCGAAATAGTTCAATATAAGGAAAGGAGAACTTAATGAGCACGAATGAAGGCATCATATTTGAAATTCGTGATCAGCGGACAAGGAAATCATCAGTTAGTGTAAATACCAAGAGAAATCATCCTGTAAATTTACAGGCATCAACCAGAAAAGGGAAATGGATCTGGTTTCAAATGTGCATAATCACACAACTCAATTAATACAAAACACAATTAAATTCAACTGGCAAGAGCTCAGTCAGAGTATGTAGTTAGATGGATTTTATCACTACGCATTAATTTTCACTGGAAAACTCCGCTGTAGTCACAGATCCAGAAGTGGTTTTCCTAGGTGTCCGATAGTCTACTGCCAATTTGTCTACTATTTCTATGTTTAGATCCGATGAACCACCGTTCATTGGATAAATAACTTGGAAACAGGGATGTGATATGTGAAATATCGCAGACATGGTGGTTAACAGGACTCAATGACTTATAAATCTCTCATGGATAAATGCGTCCATGATGTACGGCGGTGACAATGGTTGTTACAACTAATGGTGTAGTATTTGTTCCCACTGGTTGTTTATCATGTATGTCAGACCTGGAATAGTTTAACCAGGGACCTGGAGGTAAACAGATCACAGCACTGACAGAAATATCCTCTGACGCTAGTGACAGAAATGAATTTCCAAGGCTCACAGGTGAAGAATATAACAGCTGACAAACCATGGGTATTAACGAAGGATACCATTCATTAAACTGGTCCAAAGAATCTCCGGAAGATGAAAAATAGCCATCTTCGTTTAGTAATTGTTAATGGTCGTCAGAAAAACTTCACCTCCTCAGTTTTTATTAAACAATAAAATTAAATAGTTGAACTTTTAAATTCTAAAGAGACCAGGTGCTACTGCATTAATGTGTTAAAGCAACTTTTAAAATATTGCTTCCAGTAAATATGACATTTGAGCCACCGATAACTTCTTTTGTTTCTGTGATTATCACTTATTTAGCACTTCGACGAAGTGTGACCTAGAGTTTAAGTTAAGAAATCTGGTCACATGATAATTCTTTCAATGACACAGATAAGGCCTACAAAAGGTAACTTTCTTCGATAAATAACTAAATACTCATGGATATTCCAATTTCAGATAGATCAATAGACAAATACAAACATTAGGCCGATGTTTCCCTTATCGGTTTTATATTATTATTATTATTATTATTATTATTATTATTATTATTATTAATGGCTTTATTCAATATTATATTTTGGTACAATATAGAATTCTCAGCACAGGGTATTTCAACAAGTTACTTACTGAAAAAAAACGAACAAATAGGCAGTAGAAAATACAAAAAGAAATTTTTTTTAAAAATAAATTTAAAAAAAAAAGACCAAAAAAAACTGTGCAAACTTTTTAAAATTAAAGACATGTTACGAGCGACTTCCTGAATCTTATTGCTGTGGTTATCACTTTAAACTAACTTACATCTTTTTTCTAAATCTAAAACGACAGAGTTCAGCATCAAAAGAGATTAGAAATGAGAAGCATAAAACAGAAAACACTAGAACATTTAAGACATGATATAAAACCACATATATTCATAAATATTTGCTTACAATTACATTTATGGGGTTATCACAGACCAAATACATAAAACAGGAACCATAGTTAAATATAATACAGCAGAATACAACATCTTCGGTGCAAAAACTGTCCAAATAAATAAATGTGATTGTAGAAAGAAACAAAATGTGCCACATAATGTAATAGGTAATACAATAAAACCTAATACAAGACAATTAAACTTTTCACCAAAATGTTTATATCTGGATAAAACAAATCGACAAAAATAGGCTAATTGCCATATTAATGGTCCAGAGTAAGTGTAAAAGGCTAAAAGTAGACCGGCTATTATTGGTTGATGATATCGAAGACCAACATACGCTGCAGATAGATCAATGGTAGAAAAGCTCAAGGAATTCCCCTGAAACAATATTTTAAGAAAAATGAATAGTTAACAATATTGGATTATGAGTTATCTGAAGTGATTTCCCAGTATTTCTTTCCATAAATTTTTGTTCATTGTTGACTGAACAACACTTGAATCTCAGGTTTGAATATAAGTATTTACAGTATACTAAGAAAGTTGAAAGAACCCTTTTGATAGGCTAAAATTTAAGTATAGCATAAGTGATATAATCACTTAAGACTTATTATTCACTTTGTCGGTTCCATCGCGCCAACAGCTAGGCGTGATTTGTTAGAATTTATTCTCGGTGTATAATAAGTCCTTATCTGTCATGTTCGTCTTCTTTATTGCATCTAGCCTGATTAGCGTTGTTTTATTCCTAACATAAGTTACCTTATAATAACTACTTGACGTCTATTTAAAGATTTCATAGATGGTGGTTAGATGGTATAGGTCAAAATCATGAAAATTGTGAGATATCCTTCGATACTGTAGTGAAACTATAATGGTGTCAGCTAACGAACACAAAATTTACATTCCTAATTATCATTAGAACTGTGTTATTTTAATTTGAAAGTTTTCTAAAGTGTGGAAACTGTCTTACTTTTAGATGAACATATTACTGTTAAAGTACTTATTCGGAATGAAAAAATGCAGTTAATTTTTATATACACATCATTAAAGACAAAAGCAATTAAATCAATTTAAAAACCCACATAGTAACATGTAGGTGTACTGGTCAGTTCAATTAATTTTTTTAAAATATAAACAATCATTCAAATAGAATTAACGGATTTCAACATAATATTCCAACATAATTTATCATATTGTATTGCCTAGTTGGTAATTAAATGATAACTCAGTGATAAAAAGACGTAAACCGTTTAATCATTATGTTGTAAGCGTCAGTAATTTTGTGCAAAACAACAATCCAAGTATTTCAATGAGAACGTCTAAATACTAAAAAAACGTAACACCACCAACTTAAAAGTATGTATCTGTAGCGTGGAGTCGAGTCGAGATTGACTATGAACACCACTACAAGGAAATGCGTGCCAAACAAATCAGAAGGCGAAGATTGGACGTAACCAGATTTATTTCGTTGGCGATCTCGTGGTATCGAACGAATACCAAGATCGTGCCAAAAGAAGAACAAGTGGAATCAGCGGGAAAGATTACGAACGTACGAGGTCACAATCCGCGAAAAAAGTAATGGAGTAGGAATATGTCTGTCATTGGTACAATTGGTTATAATAATAATTGTTTTCATTAAACCAGTCGCGTTCTCGTGATAAAAGTGAGTCACTACGTATCAACACTACAAATCGGGATCTCGAGAAAAATTCAAGTAAGAGTACAACTGTGTTTTGAGCTATGTTGTTTGTTTTCAGCTATTACTTACTATTATTTCAAAAAACAAAACCAAGAAGTATGATAGCAGAGAAAATAAAAAAAGCTAATACTTATATTAATAGTCAGTATTACTATGAAAGGGAGGTTGATTTTATATGCAATAAATCTAATTATATATATATATATATATATATATATATATATATATATATATATATATATATATATATATATATATATATTACTTACTTGTTGAAAAAAGCTCACCCAACCTTGAGTCCAGTAGATAAGCCATGAACAGAATGGCAAAATATAACGAAATGTATTATGCGATGAATGAATACCCGAATAATGAAATATTACTTGTATCATTTCGGATGTTAACGCTTCTTTAATCCATATACTAAGCCATAGAATTGTAATCACAGGTTTACCGAGTAAACACACGAGTATATTTAATGTACATAACGGATGAACAATTGAATCCCAAAATGTTTTTGATGAATTCGCTGATGTTTGACCAAATAAACGATTAGCATTTTTATTTAAACGTATACTTCTTGATTTATACAAAAAAAATGCATCTATTAAGCATAACAAGTAAACAATTCGAGCTGATTGTATAGCATCTTCACTGAAAGTAGGACAAATAAAAATTCATTAAGGGATAAAAACACTATAAATTAGAATTAATTGTAATAATCTTACGTCTAATTTTAAAATATTTGTCAGATGAAAATTAACATTTGGTAACAATTCGAGTTAAGTGGATATTGAACTAAGTAAATAAATGAAATCATACAAACGTGATCAGTCCCTTTTTTTAAATTGCAAAGTTTCAAATATTATCACATTTGAATTGTTGCCATTACGACAGTATATAAATTATGAAAAATAAACTCGATGTACACATCATAGATGATATACCTAATAAGTTAGCAAAAAACATCTGAAAGTTTATTGTTTACTCAGGTGATGGCTATAAACTCAGAGTTACACTTTGTTGCTGTTGTATAATAGTTTCAAAATTAATGCGAAGTAATAGTTTACACAATAAGTGCACAAGACAACTGCCTACTTTACGAAGAAGAATATGAAAAATAAGATAATAATTAGCGCATACAATTTCAAAACTAGGAAGGTTGTTATGACCATACAATGAAGTGAACATGACTCTTGTACAGAGAGGTAAGGCTTGAAATGGCAAACTCTTATCGCGTCGGGTGTGCGCATATTCATCATCAAGACCTGTTTCGAGCCAGTTCTTTTAATCGTGAAAGACGATTCTTGTGGCGTAATGTGACTAGAGTTGATCATCTTTTCAAGGATTACGCTATTGATCGATTTGCATACCTCTCTAGCTAGCCATGCAAGGTGGTGCTCGGCTATTTGTTTACCGAGTACACTCTTGGTACGGCCGATATAACGTGCTCTACAAAGGAAAATGAACTGATAAATACACAATGATGTGACCCAAAGCTGCAGTTTTATCCGTGACAATTCTCGATTGAAATTCTTACTACAGGAAGCTATTCGGAGCACAGTTGAATAAAGTACCTTTCACCCTTTAGTATTTCTCCAGACATATTGCCCCTGGATTTAATATTCATGAATACAACTTTCTTCCGAACTGTGAAAGTACTTCCAACTTGACGTTTTAGTTTCAGATCACTATCCATAAACCTGAGTGGGAAACCATTCTACTTTAAAGGAACTAATTATTTAACAAAAGGAACAGTGTGAAATAAATCGTTTAACGTTCGTAGAAGTCGAAGATAATTTTCTGCATAAAAAAGTGATATCACCTAGAGAACCAATAGAAACGTGAAGGTACTGAATAGTTCTTTTGTCTGCATGTGTGAAACCTTCACAGTAGTACTCCCAGGACGTTAAAATCTATTTAACCAACTAAGCAAAGTCCCAGGAGTCCACATTCCAAACCTCAGTTAACCCGCGATTACCAACGGTCGCTGTCCAGCTTTACTGGAGATAACCATATCATAATTGATATGGTCGAACTCCAAAATTAATGGATTCCTACTACAAACTCGGAAAATCTAGTACAAAGCTGGTTGCTAACAATCAATGTAGTAATTATTTATAATGGCAATTTTTATGAACGCTTTTTTCGCAATGAACATACATTATATCACAGACTAATGACAAAATGAAAACTGTTTAAAATCAGAAGGTATTATACACAGTTCTATCTTGATTAATACACTCTCTAATAAGGAAGCCAAAAGCTGTTTCATCCATATATTTACACATTACACAGACTTTTTTAAAAACTACCAAGATAAAAACTTACTGTTCGTAATCTGATACTGCTGCTCTATATAATAATTGGTTGAAAACTATGAAAGCTCCACTGATCATTGGGGCATAATATTGACATTTTTCCCATAATGAACAATTAGGACGCAGATGAATAATTGCTTTGAAACGAAATACTAGAAATACAATCCACCAAAACAATAAACAAGTCCATAACACTGCAACGTGTTCAGGTCTGAAGGAAATTATACATGAACAGCAATAAAGATGAGTAGTACATTTTCGAACTAATTATGACTTATAGTATGGTTATATAAAATTCAGTCAAGATGACTTCGATTGTTGTTAGAGGTATGAGAGCAATTGATACTACCTGGTTTTTCTCACCAAGGAAAAACAATTCTTATTAAGGAATCTGAAAAACAAACTGGGTTAGGAGTATTCTCGTTGATTTGGTTGCGCGACTGCAGAACCTAATGGACAACTAGCTGAGACTACTCAGACAACAATTTATTGTGAGATTTTTTTGTTTTTTTCTACATTTTATAGTCCCTATTGTTAGCGATGAAAATAAATGGAGTAAGGTGAGAAGTGGTCTCTTAAAGTTAAAATCTCTAACACTCCTGTCGTTGTGATAAACCTACATTGTTGCAAGTGCTGGTTGTCTGAGAGGAACACGTAAATGGCCGCGAGCTCCAGATAGAGTCAATAATACGGCCTTTTACTTGGATTAGAATTCGAGACTTCCAATCTTACTGTTCTCCAACCAACCTTTCTGGTATAGTATGACCGGGAGAAACGAATGCACTAGCCCATACAACTCCTTTAGGTCACCGCGATGTAGGTAGCAGCTATATATATAAAGTTGTTGTAAACGGTTGCTTATAATCATGTTCTATTACAATTTTCAATCATTTGATGTATATATATATATCACCATTCATTCATGCTTTAACACGTTAATATTCTGTTTCTCTCCGATAAAATCAATATTCTTTCACTATAAAGTTATGTATATTTTAATTGAATAAAAGTTGACGAAATTATAAATTAACTTTTATGATTTATTGTATACGAGTCATATTATTCAAAGTATGAACTATAAATTAGATAAAAAGAAAAGAAAGTAATGAATTATGAAACTTAAAAATAAATATTGTTTCCAGGAATTCGAATGTTTCAAGAGTGAAGTATAGTTTCATTAACTATTATTTACTTTTGAATTGTTTGTGTCTACCATTAATTATTAAATCCTAGTGGAAAATCTAGAAAAATTTCAACTTGGTTGAGCATCAGTTTAATTTATTAACGTAAGTGGACCTCGCCTAATTCTCGTTTGATTTTATTTTCCATATTGTATATCATTCAACTTAGGCTACAAAATCAATTAGCTTAGTTGCTGACCGAATACTCCACCAACCACATCGACGATGATAACCTACACAGCTAATTATCGATTAGTTGGTGGATTATTTCAAAAAGAATAATGTTTTAGAATGAGAATGAACTGATTGTATTGCTGAATGAATGCAAAATGATGTAATATATTCACTTGTTTGAAGTCAACGTGTTTTAATTACGTAATTCAACAGAAACTATTTCATTCAAGTCGGATATAGTGATTGAAACTTAACATATCATAGTATATTTCACTGGTTCATTTACAGGTGTATACACACAAATAATGAAAGTTGTCAAGTTGTTCCAAAACCGTGAATCTAACCTCATTAAATAAATATCTAAACTGCAATTGATCTAGAATTATACGAATGAATCTCTGGGTACAGTATACTTCGATTTTAAGAACGATAAAAATCTAATATTAAACTTTGAAAAACCCACGATTCAAGAAAAAAATGCTGTATGTTTCAGCCAGATTGATTTATTGCAGTGAAACTGCTTCTTCTCTGAAGAAGTGGCTAACTCTAAGTCACGAAATGTCAGAAAATTTAATTTTTCTACTCATTGTGATATTACAAATACATTATTTATTTATGTTTAATGGATGGTTTAAATAAGAATCTTTCACTGCCTGTTTCAAAAGGAATTGTCTTTTTTCAGTTATTTAACAAGCTCATTCTCATGATACCGATTGAGAACTGACTTTTTTGTCGATTTTACTGTTCATTTGTGTTCAGTGAAAAGTTGGCAATGTAACCTATTTATCCTAGCATATCTAAAACTATTAAAAACATCCTTCTGAGTTGTAAAATCTTCTAACTATTTCAGAATATACTTTAATATATCATTATAGAGTTCATAATCATAATAAGATAAAACGCAAATAAATAAAGTGATTAATGGTTTGCATCTCTAAACTTGATTTTTATTTACGACTGATCATTTTGTGAACTATTAAATAACACAGTCGTAACTGAGTATTTCATACCTAAATAAATTTGCTGAAGAATCATATGTATACTTGGATAAAACGGCTGCCCAGTCCTACATGGCTTTTAACGGTATTTGAACTGAAGCGAAATCTATGACGAAATACTGTAGTCTCATTTCTCGAGGTTAAACTGTCAATCATTAGTTTACATGCATCATTCGTCTTTTCAGTGTGTGTAGGTTTTTAGATAATCAACTGTTGTCAAATTTTTCATTTTTAAAAATTGGAAATGTTAGAATAGTGTCTCATGAAACGAAGCAACTACTTCTGTTGATTATAAGTTTCCCATCAAATTTCCGTACATTAACAATATACGGAAAGATTACATTCTTGAAAAACAACGTAATCCTGCATATGAAAAGAAAATCTATATTTTAAGATAAGTACCTTAGTAATAAAAATTTAGAAAATGAATCATTTATCAAAATGGTGGGCCTATACAATTGCTTTCTACGTTGATTTGATATGTGTTTAAATAAAAGCTGAATTAGAAAATTATCGATAACAAGTTGAAACATGTAAAATCAACTGCAGCATTAACAAACACTATTTTAGAATAATTAGTTTACTAAATAAAAGCATACAACTACTTATCATGATGAAATGTTAAAATTTACTGGGTTGCAGTTATATTTGCAATTATGGGTGTATGTTATTGACAGATAAATCCGACTCAAAGTCTTAACGTAGAGATGATGGTGGAGGAAACCCTGCGAGCTAATTTATGCGGTCAGCCGAGATCGGACTAATCCACTACTCCTATGCTGAAAATGAGTTTGGGGGATTCGAACCTTGAGGCTATCAAATCTAGCGGGTTACCCTAAATGTATAATTATGTTTGCGAAATGCATGAGTCTCAGCTTTTTTAGTTGTGTATATCTGTATGTGAATAGGGCACGTAGCGGGTTCGCAAAAGGAACGAAAGCTCAAATGTCTGCGCTATGTCGAATAAAATCAGCGGTCTAAACCAGTAGGTCGAAGACAAAATAAAAAGATATGGTAGCAAATCCTAGTGAGAGGTGATCTTCAGTCCTCCCTGAAAGTACTAACGCTTATTTGTATGTCATGAAGTGCGAGGGCGAAAATCGTACCAGTGGCATACAAGAAATGCATAAGAGTCAGTTGTGGTAAATATGTTCGAAGGGAGAGTTGATCATATAACCTCCCAGGTGAGTGAATATACTTACATGTATGCTATAGGATGCATGAGTGAAAACGTGTTATCGGTATACATATAACGTATTTTGCCCCCAGGGTGTGTATACCTGTATATGCAGCGGGATAAATAGGTAAAAATCTATATGTTAGCGGTATACATCACCTTGGTGTGACGCCCGCGCGCCAGGACCCCGTGGTACCGACTTCCCCACTAAATCACATCCATGTGGTGGGTTTGTGAGGCTTGGTCAGCCTTAAGCGTTTAAGACACAGCACCACTACCATATTATTGACACATCCAGTGTTACTCAGCCTACTGAACATGCCGGATGAAAAACACAAATATATGTAGTGAAAGCTACGGCTGAAGGTGGAACGTTTAATGAGAATTACACAGCTCACACATTAAATTGAAAGAAATATAACTGAAAGAACTGGGTATGGTACATGGATATAAATCGTTAAAGATGACATCCAGTAATTGATAGTGCGTTTTTGTAGCTCATCACCTTACATGGGTCTATATACAATGAAATGCAATTATTCTATGATAACTCACAATGAAAACAATTTATTGATAAATAATAAAAATAAACACGTAATTGAACTACTACTCTTAAAATGAACTTCACAAATTCTTGACCCTATTCAGTATATATGAATGAATGATATATGATGCTCAGTGGAATAATTTACAGTTGGTAAATTGTTTTCATAAAATTATAGAACTTTTCAAAATAGACCATGAATGCTCCTGCATTGAATTTAAAGGATATTCGATACAGTGTAAGGCTAGTGTTAAACCTATGTTTAAGGCTGGATGCAATAATAGGATTTAGGGTGATCCTAAATACTAATCCTTAATCCAGACCCTAGCCTTAAGTACTCAATGATTTCTTCGTCGTTATGATTAGTCATCTACATTCGATAGAAAATACTGTTTTGATAATATGTACCATGACCTTGAAAAGCCTTAATCTTTTTTAATAGGATTGCTTTTTTATTTTTAATGCTTACTCAATCTACTAAGTAAGTAGCCTGAAATTCAGTTTCATATAGGTTCAGAACGGGAAAATATGAAAATACAGTTACATCAAATGTTATACCAGTTGTTACCGATATCATTTTATCATCTAACTTATTATACTGACTGACTGAATTTTGGGCGTTTCAGGTCAATAGGTCAAACTGACCACAATCACCATATAAGAATGAAATGCTCTGAATTCAACCCTCAATAAAGTCTAAAACCAAAACAAAAAGGTCCAATATCTCTGAATTCTTAGTAATTCCCGAACTAATGTCAAACCGTGATGGAAGCTAACTTCAATTTCCCGAAAAAAAAATTGTAGACCAAAAGGGAAACTAAAAGTTAGATATGGGTTTCTAACATATCATTACAACAGTGAATAAAATAACAATCATGTAGAAGGGGCTGTGAATAACTCGAAAAAAAAAGCTATTTCTAAAAATATCTAATATGGATCTTTATATTCTAAGCAGAAATTCTGCCATGGATTTTGTATTTACAGTTCGTACCCTTAGTTTATTGATTATCATAACTCTTATGACATTTTATGGTGTTTACAAAGTTAACTTCGCGATATGTACAAGAAAGCTGTCCTTTGGAGAGTCAATAAAAAATCTTTTGCAAATAATCATTCACTTTATTGAGCATAAATGTTAAAAGAAAGTTGAAATGGGGTTGCTCACACATTTTAAGGCTACACAAAACTCGTATAAACCGTTAATTTCACATATTTAGCCTCTACCTTCAGTTCGAATAAGAAAGATGACACTTGATTCGAAACCTAAGTCCAAAGTTTCCTACCGTATACATCCAACCAACTAGTGGTCCTCGAAACATGATTATTTTTCAGTCTAACTGTAACAGAGGATATGAATGTATAATGCTCAAATATCTGCAGCAATGATTTCTACACAAATTAGGTTTCGAATTAATAATTAATGGTCTCTAACACTTTGTATTTACTTCCTAAAGTGGTTTTGTGGGGATTACGTGCGCTGTTTCCGAGTGACAAATCAGCAGCAAAGGTGAATTTAACAATCCAGCTGCCAAAGTAAACAGAATAAGTGGGGTCTAAACGTATGATATAGTGCTTAAAAGTCAAATGGTTTGAATACTGCAAGCTTCTAATAAAACTCCTATACATGATAATAACAATAATAATAATAATCTTACTTGTACAGCCAGTCAGATATATCCGGTGAATGTATCCATTTATTACCAGTTTGATGTAGTCTACGCAATAGGAAGCGATCTAATACAAGTATTTTAAAAATACTTTTTAAAATGACCCATTTCACACTTGAACTAACGTTGCCAAGTAGAATCAATAAACTAGTCAGTAATATAAGACTTGAACTAAAATAATACCATAATTGATGTTCTTCTTCAGCCCAACTACTTGATGCTAAACTGATGGAATGTAGAACTAGGCAAATTGTACCGAACCAACAGATAATTTGAACTAATAATGGATCAAATGAATAACTCAAATCAGCTGTATCCGAATAATAATACTGAATTATTGTTTTTTGATTCTGTAAAAAAAAGTCGAAAAGAAATTGTGGAAAAGGTTAGAAATTAAGGACAGACGAAATCTTATTTGATTATGGAGTTGACCAAGTCAAATATAGCAGGAGTGTATCATTAACAAAAGCTTTATTTACTATTGTATGTCTAGTACAGTATAAAATGCTCAGAACAAATTATTTCAACAAGTTTATTTTACAAAACACAAAAATCCGATAGCTGCATACATATATACATCAATTAGGCAAATAAACTACCTGGGATCAAGTGAAATGTTTTCTTAAGAAGATTAAAGTCTGTACAACTTCTAATTAAAAACATGTTTAAGGATATAAGTTATTACCTAGGTCAGTTCTTACAACCTGTCCGTCGCTTAGTATATTTTCTAGATAAGGTATTGTAGAGCTTTTATAACTTTGCTTGAGTGCATGGATTCCAATGTATTGAAGATATACAAGGAGAAAGATACGAATGAAATGGATGGTCAGTGTCTGATAACATAACACATGTCAGGAGTCTGCGATTTCTTAAATGTATATCCACGAACATATTCATAGTTATCTCAAAAGATTCACCACACATTCTGCTTGTTGCCTTCAGCACTCTTCTCAACACACCAAAACCTTCTTTTAAAAACCCGAGAAATAAGAATGGGGTACAGAAAGGAATAATACGTAGTATGAAAGAATTGGAAAATCATAAAAGTAAATGTCAAGGAATACCAAAAGCATATAGCCACTTGATATAATAAGTTGAATGGAAAGCTTTATTCGATATCATTAAAACTTGAGAAAACCGAGAGGGATTAGAGGCAAAATTCACATCAAGATAGACGACCTTCGACAAGACTTTTATTACAAAATCTCCAAGAGCACAGACTTTGTAGGATTACAACAGGGTGTTTAACAACTTTTCTGTCTCAGGCTAAAATTAAAAGTTTGACATTTAGAAGGATTAAGTATGAAACCATTAACAACAGACTATCGTTCAATGAGAAACAAGACCTCATTCATTCTAAGAGGATGTACAGAGGCAGGAATCGGTGTATATACAGCTATCGATGTTCATGACTGAAAATTTGAGTAGTAGTGGTCTTGCAATAGAGTCGAAAACACAAGTATAGTCTACAAATGTCCGTCGAACATACTTCGTACCCTAATCTCAACTCATTACTGTTATTTATTTATTTGAACACATAAATATTGGTACAAGTGGGCACCCATTATATATGCGCAACACAAAACAACGAGAATTCGAAGAGGAAAAAAAGAAGGTAAGGAGAGTAAAAAAAGAACAGAAACGAACAGATTAGTGTAAGGTAGTGTAATAATAATAATAATAATGGGGGAAACGGAAAGGTACAATCAGAAGAAATCTTTCGGTTAAGGAACATACAACCACTTTTTATGAAGAAAGTAAAAGAAGGTTACAGCAGGATCGCCACTGGCTTCTATTCTGAGCCATATCTGACATCGTCTCTAACCATTGTGTCGCACCATCTCTCGGACCCCAACCAGGGAGTCGTGAAGGACCAACACAAGCCAGCTCTTTGCAACTTTCTTTCATACCACGACACAATGTCATACACTGACCACCTCTCCGCTTTTTCCAACCAGTCTCAGCGTCGGCAAATAATGCAGGACGTGGAATTCTCTAAGACGACATTCGTAGAACACATCCAAGCTACTAAAGTCGATGTTTCGAGATGGTGACACCAATTGAATTATCGTCTCTGCGCCCGAACACACGATGCCGAACCTCTGCATCACTAACACGATGTTGCCAGTGGATAGCAGCAATCCTTCGGAGACAACAATGACCAAACACAGAGAGTTGTCTAAAATCCTCAACTCGTAAAGGGCAGGTTTCACAAGCATAGAACAAAACTGCTCTCACTGATGCGTTGTAGACCCGACGTCTTACAGCCAGACTAACATTACGAAGGCACCAAACATGGCCCAGATTGGGATAAGCTGCTGTGGCTTTTATTATACGTGAATTCTTCTCATTATTCAATCCAATATCAGCACTTCTGCAACTACACAGACCCACGAACGTCTCGACTACTTTTATCTGCTCACCATCCAGGGTGAGTACAGGATTAGAATCCTGCCAGTCTTGTAGAAGTACTTTGCACTTCGAAGGTGCAAAGCACATACCATACCTACGGACACTGATTGCCAACTGGTTAAGTACAGATTGCATGCCTTGGGCATTATCGCACAGTAAGACAATATCATCCGCATACTCAAGGTCGAGAAGTCATTCTCCAGGCAACAGATCCACACCGCCATTACTTACATCCATCAGAGCTGTTTCCAGAATGTCATCGATGGCAAAATTGAAGAGGAATGGTGAGAATTTGTGAGCCTCTCTAACCCCGCTCCTTGAATGGAACAATGGAAAGAGGTGGTTATATGCCCTCACTCTGCCTGAGGTGTTTGTGTATAGGGCCTTTAGTATGTCAATAAACTTCTCAGAAATACCCTTCTTCAATAGACAATCTCAGAGGACAGTCCTGTCCAACGAATCGAAGGCAGCCCTGATGTCAAGAAACTAAATACTGTATTGTGATACATAACAGAAGCAGCATCTAAGGTACTTCTTTTGCACTTGTTAGCGGATCGATATAGATCAGCAGAGTACAATAGAGTGAGCAACGCTGTGTTTGGACATAAGTTGTAGAAATTCGAAATTTAGGTGGAATTTTACAAAACTAATTAGAGTTGTATAAGGTCATTATGCTTTATTTGTTAAACGATCGATGGAAAATGTCGCAGTTTTGCGTTCCCCCATCTTTAATTAGATTAGGACTCAAAACACAAATATACCATCAAAAGTACCACAACCACATTACAATTTGCAAGCCTAACTAGGTACTGAACTTGGATATTTTAGATAAATAGTTAAAAAAAACGTATTGATATTTAACAGATAATTTATAAACGGTGAGAAAATATAACGATAATTAGTGAAATTAAGGATTAAAGTTAGTTAGATCTTTGTTGGATGTACCGGCATTCTAAGACAATTGCTTATCAATACACCATGCATGTTGAACAAGTCGATAGCTTCCCGGAATTAGTAACTCAGTAGATAAGGTGTTAGCGTTTAAAGCACTAGTCAACTGGGTTCGAGTCCCGATATTAACTTCAACGTTGGGACTCAGGTATATCCATCTGACGAGTTCAAAATTAGATGAAACTCGTAATCTGGATTTAGTGGTATTCGCAATTCACGTACGTGAGTGAGTCAAAACACAGCTTACATTAAGTTCTGTATAATAGTACCATTAAAATAATAGTTTTGATGAATGCTCATTCAAAGTATGTAAGCTTATTTATTGAAAAATAACTATCCTAGTATCAAATTTCACCTCTTCTTGTACTATCTTAATAAAAACAATTAGCTATTAGATATAAACAGATATATCTCATGAAAAAAGAAAGTATTATACAGAATTAATAATAAATCTTCGAAACAGAATAATACAAAATAGTTTGTATGGACCATACAAATAGAAATCTTAAAGACTACAGAATCACACCTTAAATTTACCAAAATAAAATTCATCAATTTATTAAATTGATAGTTAGAAGTAGTCCTTAAATAAAACAATATACTTCAGGATAAGTGGAAGATTATCAATATATACAGTGAGAAAGAAGGTAGTTTATATCGATTAGTATATAAGATTATCGAGGCTTGCTAGGTATTGTAAGATTATTAAGAAATCAGGAATTCACTGAACAACTGTTTCATTCGCGTTTAGGACTAATGTAGAATTACTCGAAAATGATTGGTTGTTGAGCTCCAAAAAACTACGATGCGACAGTTTTCCAGTACCCCAACCTTCTTTTTTGATTGTTAATTAATTAATGTTAGCCTAGCTAAATTCGTACTGAATACTTTCTGTAATTCCAGTTTAAATATATTAATCTATAAAAACTCTAGTGTAAAAGTTAGTCAGTATTGATAATTCACTGGAGTATATCTGGACTATTTCACTGAAGGTAAAATTGAAATAACTGAACGCATATTACTTACTTTTCTGTTTGTCAAAGAATTTTTGGTATCGGAAGAGTAAATAACTGAATTGAGAATCTTGTGAAACAGCAATAAGGTAACCTGTAATAAATCATTTTTATGTCCAAAAAATAGACAAAAAAACTTTAATTTTGCAAAGGTTTATGAGAAAATCAAATTTTATTTAATTAGTATAAAGAATGATAAATATATCCTAACAAAGTATCTCTATGGTAATATATCTCTGACAGGCACACTGATTTGAATCATTCGTTCCGAGGAACGGAAGTTTCCTTTAAGAGTGCAGATATACCATCTTGATTAGTGGCCAACTAGCATGAGACCGAAGTTTAGGGTTGAATCTAGATTAACTTCAATTATATAAGGTCACACAGGTTGCATCGATATATTGACTTGTTTCAGCTAGTGGTCATATTGAAACTTGAATGGTAGAATTTGATTAGGATAAAGAATTAAGTATGAAATCTTGCTATCAAGTTATCAGTTAGCGTATATATATTACTTGCAGCTATGAATAAAATGAGTTCGTATATAATAATGGGTCTGGAGTCCTTAATGTAAAGCCACTATTTATTGTTTTGATTGTGAGTATGAACACCACCTACACGTTGCTAAGCTTTTCAGTTTGCAGTCGTTTAGCACATATTTAGTACTAATATAAAACATTTCATCCCAAGTTTATTAGTTTAAAACATGCTATACAGTTTTTAATTTCGTCTTAGATTTTCTTACTTTAAAATGTAAAGCGATAGTTTATTAATTAGAAAGTTTATCTTTTATTTAACCATTTTCAGTTTTAAATCTTGACACACCGACTTCGGTTAGGGTGGTTGGATAGAAGTTTGCACACCACTAGACTTGAAAAATGAAGTGAAATATAATGGATAAGAACTATTGGATTGCCGTTTTATGACTCACAAATATTGTGATCGTTACAAGAAATAGATTTGAATACAGCTCTTGGCAAAACGATGAGTGATATTTCAGAATTTTAGACAAAAACAAAACAACTGCCTGAAACATTTGAATTGAAAAAGTATTTGAATTACCTACAAATAATAAACTTACAATCCACATTAAAATACCGCCAAATATCATTTTTTCATTATTTAAATGTTCAACTTTTGACAAAGATTCTGATTGTATACCGGTAAGTAGGTTAACTGTGTTAGTAATTAATTCTTCGCCTTTTAAACGAGAACCTGATTTTACACAATCAATTTGCTTGAATTCATTAGTTGAATTTCCTTGAGTGTTTTGACAATGTAACCAAGTGATAATTTCATTTAGCAAAATGTTATATTCCGTAGCTGTAAAAATATTTATTGAAGCAAAAAGCATCATAAAATGAAAACTAAATATTAAAAAAAAGAACAATTCACAACGATATTCCGTTGGTTCGTATAATATTAATGATGGAATAGTAAAAGCAACAAATTAGCATTAATATTAAAGATAATTGATAACGATAAATGAATAAATTTATAAACTTAGGTTGTACAAAAGTTTCTTTGATAATTTGAATTTGTATTATTTAACGAATGTAAATAGAAACCAACTGCTATAATATTACAGATTAGATAGTTTTTTGGATGAACTCGGTTCTTTTTTGTGAACAGATATAAATTAGTGTTTGGGACTTGGGCAAAGAATTATTAGGCTGAATTCGATAGTCAACTTTTATAGACTAATGTTTATGATCAAGGTGAGAGATTGTGAAGATTTTTCATTTTGAAGTTACTTTTCGTTGCTAATCGGCGTTAATTCCAGAAGCACGGAAAGTCTAATAACATTTAAATTAAGTATGTTCCCAGTTTGAAATTTCTCAACAGTGTGTACACATAACCATACAAGGGATCAAACTCAAAAGCCACATGTCTCGGAGGGAGCTTGTTACATCATATTAGAACATTGAAAATAGCAGTGTCAATTATAATAAAAAAGACTGAATATACAGATTACGATTCTAGGAGCAAACAACATAGAACCTGGTGCATATGCATCCGTTTGAGTTGTGATACTAAATCTGTATATTCATACAGTATTTCAAAATGTAATAACATTAATGACCAATGTATTTCTTTTATTATTTAAAAATGAGAGACTCACTTCGTTCTTGACTCCATACATTTGACATACAATTTTTATGCTCAAATTTATGATATGACTTCAATGAAAATACACATTCACCAGATAAACGACCAATATGTTGCATTAACATATATAGCACTTTTAATCGATCATAATTTGTTGACCAGAAATTATACAACCACGAAGATGATAAAATGCCTAAACTTCTCTCTGGTATACCAACTCCTGTAATTAATCCGATTATTGTGGCCAAATCAACTTGTTGTGTTTGTGGCAACTGTTTTAGATTTGTTGTTACACATGTGTTCTTGAGTAAAAAATATTAAAAAATACTGCAGGAACACGAGAGTAAATTAAAAGAGTAATTGTATAAAGCTTCAATTTTATTGATAATTATTACAGAAAAAATAACATTATTAGTCAGTAATATAACTATAATCAGATTTGGAAGTTCTAATTATGATTTCACATTAGATCTAAGATGAGTAAATTATGATAGGTGTTACCAAATAGAACAACAAAGACATTTGTGATGTAAAGACAATTTTGAATACAGAGACCTGACTAAACATTGCATTTAACCTAATTGTCTTAGATTTGTTTAAACTGAATGATTATGTGAGTGCTAACTCGATATATTGAAAGGCTAAAATTAAGAGAGTTAAAAGTTATCACAATTCTAATTACTCCAACAATCAAACAGAAACACTAAAATACTTTTTGTTTTTATCTATTCGTTGACAAAATAAGAGACAAATATTTTGGAATTCAAGAACCTTATGTTTCACAGATTACGAACATAGTTGTATCAGTTGAAATAGTAGAAAACTTTATTCATTGAACATGGGTGAAAGATACAGAATGTTGAAAAATATTCAAAATATGTCTCCAGTAATCATAATATGAATTTATGTCAGAGATATTTGTAGTAATATTGTATAACTGATAATGAAAATCTTTTACTGCACAAAAATTTATAGTATTGAATAAAGCTATTATTATTATTATTATTATTATTATTATTATTATTATTATTATTATTATTATTACGCATTGTTTCATTCGCTGACGTGGCAATAATTAAATGTGAATCTAGCCTATCTAATAGAGAGAGAGAGTGTGTGTGTGTGTGTGAACTACGCTTAAGATTGTTTTTCTTTCTAAGGTGAGAGATAATTCATTTATTCTGTATTGGTTAGCATACTTGATAGGTCTTCTAACTGAACACTTAAATCGGTTTCTTAAGCTTTACTAATAACCTCAGGTTAAATCTACATGACAAAATGAACACGAGAGAACAGACGCGAAGTGTGAAAAGAACGCTTCACTCTAAGGTTACTCTATGTACATAAAATCGAAGTTATTTATAGTATTTCAGATGCTTCTGGAAGGTTCTGGGACCATAGTAAACATAGTAGTGGAATAGGTAATTATGTAATCATAAATGTGACACGTGACCTTTCACTGTCTAGATGTTTTTGAGAAGCCTACATTCAACGCTGATTGGATAAAATGTTTCCCAGTGTTTTCAGAGCCCCTCTGGACTTTTTCGAGGAATACTTTGGATATCCCCAACAACACTCAGTTTTGAGTCCCATTTTAGTTGTGAGACATAATGCAACTACCCGAAAATGAATTCGAACATGTTGCCTAACAGTTGGAAATCAAGTATTTTAATTACCGAACTACTAAACCATTTCCAATGATTATGTAGTGTCATTTTCAATCATTGGAGTTGTTGGAAAGTGGTAATTATTCATAAAATATCAATCATCGTAAGTTTTCAAACTCCATACACTTAATTCTATTCACAGCTTTGTTTAAATAAATATGTCACCATCGTACCAAGTGTTTACAAATAGTAATACTTTTACTATCGATAACAATGACTGATTTCTCATAATGTGCGGTGCTTTATTATTTAGAAATTGTAATTATTGAAAGCATTAATATCCTCCATTTATGGTACAGATCATAACTAATTTTAGATCAAAATCAAACGCTTATCAAGTTAGAGCGTTAGGGAGAGTAGTATACAATATCCTACTATACCAAAGTGAAATAAACTTAGGAAATGACTTACAAGTAACATATCTGATACTGTAAATAATACACATATACTAGTGAAACTTGTCAACCCAAGTGCAAATTCATGCATTCAACCTCAGGCGACACTTTTTATGCCAAACCTACAGGCAATACCAAGTTTTCCAAATTGAGACCGATGGAACCAGGTTCAAATCTAAAACTCCCCATAATAAGTCATTATTCCATAGATATATTAAGATGATCGTTTGTGTTTAAATAAGAGTAACGAATGATCAATTTTACATTTATTTTACAGTCGAAATCCCTAATTATCAATTAGTCTAATTAACCGTTGTCTTTATCGATTGAGTCATACTCTTAAATTCTGTTTCACTCCAGTTCAAAAAGTCGGGCAGTCTTATTACCTCAAATACAAAAATTTTATCTTGTTTATCGATGCTGTTGAAAAGTAGTGCAGTGGGAGTAAATTAAATCGTTTGTACTTTCTGGTAATAATAAACTGTTTACAAAATAAACGGTAAAAGTTTCATGACCCAACAATTAAATTGAGGTAGCTAACGCAGACATTTTAAAAATCGTTCTTTAGAACGACAAAAAGAGAAGTGTTTAACTATGAGATTTAATGATTCTTGTATTGATCACAATGCCGAAAATAAATCTCCTCCAAGTGGTCATGAGTGAGTATTGCTGATAAAAACGTAATATAGATAGGTATACATAGCTATGACTGTCGATATGTAACCAATAATTTATTATTAAATGACTGTATCAAAATAGACCTTAAAACAAGGCTAAAGTATTTAATTGCTACTAATCCTTCATATAAAATTCGATGATTGGAATGAAAAGCGCAGAAAGCGAAACAATAAATCCAGCAATCAATGTAAATTGAAAATGTAAATTCATTATTCTTTTTCGTTAGCAAATCGTACTTTGACCAATAAATAACTTTGTGACATTGTAAAACTCATTGGAGCTATTTCTTCTTTTCCTACCATACGTTAATTTTTTTTAAAGCTTCCATTTCATCAGTTTCAGATTTCATACATAAATTCTTTTTCAAGAATTATACTTTGAAGTGTCACTACTTAGAGAATAATGTTACTTTTACTTTATTTACATCAATCAGTCAGTCAAATATCTAACTGTTTAAGATTTACTAGTGGAAATCATGAGTCAATTCAAGCTAGACCACCATGGAAAACTTGGAGGCACTGGACGGCCGTTACGTCCTGGTAAGGGACTCCTCGGCAGTGCGCATCCACAATCCCGCCCCCCCCGCGAGATTCGAACCCAGGACATATTAGTCTCTCGTGTGAGCACTTAACCATTAGGCCACTAAGCCGGCATCCAACGGTGTTAATGTCTAACTTCAACCAATCTATGAAATCGCGCCACCGTACACCATTGTTTTCAGTGAGCTGATATTTCACGGGGAGGGGGATCATGGATGCGCACTGCTGAGGAGTCTCATCCTAGGACGAAACGGCTGTCCAGTACTCCCAGGTTTTCCATGGTGGTCTAGCTTCAATTGACTCACGATTTCAACTATTGAAATTTCTAAAATCTCCACAAAACCACTTCTGTTTAATATTTATTAAAAATTAGAAAACAAATGTGATAGCCATTATTTAAAAGTACACTTTTCTTCTCAAGTATACATTTACCTCAGTTAAATGATCATTGGTTTTATTCCAGTTAGATCCAAGCATAAAAAGGCCAGTTGTTTTTTCACCAGTTGTAGAGCCTCCATGACTGCCTTTATCACTCATTCCATGATCGCCTGTTAAAATAAATAACCAATTTTTATTGATAATTGATGAAGAGTTCATCTGGAAAAAAAGGTATAAAAATTATTGTGAGAATAATAAAATACTGAAATTTCTGATTTAATTCATTAATCAAGAATTGATTTGGGTGCTGATTATTTGAGCTACAATCTATATGTGAGGATTCTGTGATAATAAACAGAAATTTAAAATTAAGTAGGTAGAATGGGGTTCCAATTTGCGAACTATGAACGGAAATTTTACAAAAGAGTGAAGAAAAGAAAAGATTCATGAATTCATTCAAAGTTCGTTGAGAACCTGATTTTTTATTGATTAGGCCATGGATTCTTTATTTAGATGGTAAAGTTTAGCTTGATTAAAAATTTTAATAATGAATGTAGCATGAATAGGCCCTGAGTAACTGATTTAGCATACTTTTGCATATCTTGGGGGATTCGATCATATATATGTAACCAGAGGTAAGTAAACGAGTCGTTTTCATCTGCACGATGCAAAGTCCATCTACTTATACGACTTTTATAGTCTAAATGCTCTATAATCTAAGACGTAATTTACTCAGTTTTTATCAGTCCCTGGACTTTAGATTAAAAGCCGACCATTAAAGTGCATAGACATATCATTAGCAAGTAATAAAATATTCCAACAAATATGATTGATCGCTGTTTCTCTCCTAAACTAGCATGTTATTAGTAGTTTAAGAAATAATTATCTGTAAACATAAACGAATAATATTGGTGAATGTTTTCGATTTCCCGTTGTTGATGTTTAGATCTGAAATTAAATAATATCCGTTGTTATATATGCATTCCGTGCAAATTGCCTCTATATGTTATGTACATATGACAGTAGTAATTGGTCAATTGGAGTTGTGAATATCAACAATGGGAGATTGAAAACTATTGCCAATACATTAAGACTCGTTGAATAATTTGTGTTTATCTGAAATCAATAGCTTAGGGGGATGTTTGAAGTGATAGGGATTGAGTTCGAGTTCCAATGTAAATATCAACACTGAGCTTCAGGCACATTTCGTTGATGAGTTGCAAATAGAATCATTAGCTATCTAATAAATATAATAAATTCAACGAATATTTTAAGTGAACTAACTTTAGGAAGCGAGTCTTAAAAATCTAAAGATGAGCTGAGAAAAACAAAACATAAAACACCACAGTGAGATAAATCCTATAAATTTGTTAACTACTAACAAATTAAATTTAGCAAAACTAATTTATATTAGATATTCGATAATCAAACAAATAGTAACAACTTTTGGTTGATAATGTAACTTAGCCATTAAATATGGAAAATTAGTATTTAAACAACATTCAGATACATACTAGAGATAGAAATACAATATTGAGTCAGTCAACCAGAATGATTCAAACAATGTTAATGTCATTTATTTAAACACATGATTTATTAATGGCCAATTCTCGTCTCAAGTTATAATAAATGCTTTAGTAACTGATTATGAAACAATTTTCATTTAAAATAACTCAACTAACAGGCAATAAAAATTTTTGTTTGAATTCTATAGCACCAACTTTGATTTAATTAATTGAATATAAGAACTAAACTACATAAGAACGTATAGCTAAGAACCAAGTGTGTATAAGTACTTATAGTTCATTACTGAGTTAAGCTGAAAACTAATTCATACTAGTTGATATTGGTTGAACTAGCAGACAGATAATTTACATATTAAAAATTATTATCAGGTTTAGTGATAAAAAGAACCAAGTTGATGATGCAGTGGGAAATATACAGTTGCAGAGTTAACCATTTACTGTGATTCTTTCAATTTTTGTTAATGTAAACCATTGACTTACATAAAATGTAAATGTTCAACACAGTTTTTTTTTTAAAATTTTAATCAATTACTTTACTGATAATCTATTAGTTCAGTAAAAGTAGAAATAAGTATTTTAATAATTATTATTATAACAATTTTGCCGTACCAATATTTTAAAATTTCATTACCTCCTAGAATTACTATAGTGTTATAAGTTATGAAACTTTCAGTTCGAAAATGAAAAAAATCTCATTATGAAACAGGAAAAAAAATCATTGATAAGATTTTGGATTATGCGTATTAGTGAAAGCAACTACCAACTAGTCAGTTCGGTGTACCTGTATCACAGTGTTGACATTAAGGCTGATGGTAGAAGGTAGCGCTTATCGATAAAGACGTCAAGTCTTTGGGTACTAAACTTAGTTACTTACTTACATCTGATACTACTCGAGCAGCATAGATCGCCCACCGGCATTTTCCATCCAACTCTGTCCTGGGCAATCTTTTCCACTTGCTATTCATCCTTTTAATGTCTGCCTCCAATTCCCGGAGCAATGTATTATTAGGTTAACCTTTTTCCCTTTCTCATTCAGGATTCCAACTTGGAGCTTACCTCGCGAAGCAGTTTGATGATTTCCACAATATATGTTTTATCCACTTCCAACGTCTTTCCTAATCTCCTCTTCATTTGGATGCTGGTTTGTTCTCTCCCACAGTAGGTTGTTGGTCATGGTATCCGGTCAGCGGACACTCAGTATCTTGTATAGACAACTGTTTATAAATACTCGTACATTTTTGATGATGGTTGTAGTAACATAAGGTTCTCTTATACACACTATCAAATACTTCATTATGGTCAAGGAACTTGATCGTCTTGCCTTTTTTGTTCTTGACTGGTCGCTTTGGATTTTTATATTTATCAGTCAGTTTCTTGGTTGTATCATATATTCGCCTTGCTTGCAGTTTTTTCCGGTGTTGTTGCCAGTTTTTCCACGTATTTCTGTTTGTCAGCTCTAGTGCTCTTCTTCATCACCTGCTTGTTTGCTTCTACTTATTTAGCTTGTGTTTTGACTTTCTCTGCTTTTGTTCTGCTGTTGTTAATTACTGTCTTCATGGTCTTCCTTTCTTGAGTGTTGTCCAGGGTTTCGATAGAGATCCTTCTTATAATCATGTCTCTCGAGGCTCAGAACCCCCTAACATGTTGAAGTTAGTGCTTCTCCGATCCCTTCCACGTTGTCCTTAATAGAAGTTTTTCTTCTTTGAGTAGATCTTGTAGTGCTTGGGACCAGTTGTTGAGATCTATCTTGATTCGTTGAGTTTAACAGCATCTCGAATGAAGGTTGTATTGAATTTTGTAATTCTGTTTCCTTAGCTGCCCAGTGTTTCTTTAGCTTCAGTTTCATCTTGGTCAAAACCAGGTAGTGATCTGAATCTACGTCAGCTCCTTTTGTGCTTCTCACGTCTTCAATCGACTTTCTGAATTTTTAGTGATGCAAATACGACCAATCTGGTTCTTTGTGGTGTGAACGGTGAGATCCATGTGGCTTTGTGCATGCGTTTGTGGGGGAACAACCGATTTGTTGAATGCACATAGATTTGCGAATTCCTCACCAGTCTCGTTCCTTTCTCCCAGTCCATGTCGCCCCATGATATCTTCATATCCAGTATTATTCATTCCGACTTTGGCGTTTAGGTCTCCCTTCAGGATGGTCAGGACGTTTCCTGGGTACTTCAGTATGAGTGATTACAGCCTCTTATAGAACTGGTCTTCATGGTCGTCATTGCGATTATTGGTGTGTGCATAACATTCGATAACATGCATTGTGATTCTCTCCGTCTTTGTTTTGCAGGATGCTTTGATGATCCTGGATCCGTGAGATTCCTATCCTATAAATGCATTTCTTGCTTCTCTGGACAGCACCAGAGCAACTCCCTGGGTGTGTGGAGAATTTTCCTTTTCGTGACCGGAGTACAGCAGCATCTCTTCCGAATCTAACCTTTTCTGTCCAGTTTGGGTTCGATGCGCCTCACTGATTCCGAGCACCACTAAATTGTATTTCCTCATACCCGTAACTATTTGATCAGTCCTTTCAGTCTTTCACATTGTCCGAATATTCCATGTACACCTATATTAATTGTTGCTCTGTTTGTTAGGAGGGTCATCGGTTTAGTGATTTTCCAAAAATCTCAGCTTTCACCAAGAGGCGCCATAATTCTTCTGAATGAAGATCTTTCGACTTGAAGGGCAGAGTTTAAATGGTTTAAATTGTATTTCCCTACTAGTGTTTCTCGGCAAGGTTTTTTCTACGGCATGGGGTTGCTGACCCTATGCCCGACCCTCCTCCTTTATCTAGACTCGGGACCGGCAGTAACCCTAGAAGGGCTACAGGGTCTGTATAAGTATTAGATATCCTAGTGATTATGACTCTATCTGAAAAGGTTTGTAACATCCTGTTAATATTCAGGCAAATACGCTACCAGAGATTGATTTATGCAGCCTCAGATATCAGCATCAATAAAGTAAAAGCCCTTACAAAAGATATCAACTAGTTTTAGGTTGACGAGTTCTTTAGTTCAGATCATTATCAATATCCAAACTTGAACATAAAAGTATTAGAGATTTTAGCTGATGTCGGGACGTGACTTGTCTATTAATAGTCAATTAACAGCAACAACTGCTTATTCATACTTCCACAAAAAAAGTCAATCAGATTTCATGTCAAGTACCAACGCGTGTGTTGCACATTGTAGTGATAATTGAACTACGTGAAAATCAAGATTACCAATAAAGTGTGAAGGAATCAAACTAATTTAACTTCAACTCAAAAGTTAAAATGCAGTAAAAATACATTTGTAAATTCACGAAAGTTATTAAAGGCACCACCCAAATTGGTAAGCAAACTTTGCGTTTATGTATACACTTTATATTCGAAATACTTTCACTTTTACCAAATCTGACCCTTAGTTATATTGATTACAACAGACAGACTGATCTTAGATCGTTAATATTATTGACAAGAGATAAAAATGTATTAAAACACTTAACGTAACCGAATGGAGTATATTTTGTAAAGAGTAGAACATTATATTCTATTTGTGAAAATTATATTTGAAATAATCTCGACGATAGAAATATGAATTCATTTTTTAGCGATTCTGATTATTATCTAGCAGAATTCCAGACAGGTTTGTTGGATGAAACGGTGGAACTTTTTAAATTTCAACCGCTGAGGTTATTACAAACATAAATTTTACAAATAACGTCTTCCATATATTCAGCGCCAGATTCCTGTCAAACTATTCGTTCAAATATTGACGAATATTGGTATGAGCTATATTTTTGTGAATGCTGAATCAGTGCCAACCTTTATTGTTAGCAGAGTAGTAACGAATTGGAAAAAAGAAACAAGATTAATCGTGTGTTACTATGCCTAATTCTCGTGAAACTGTAGTCTAGAGATTTTAAAAACAAACTTTCGAATATTGAAAGTGGATTTCGAAATCCAATCTAAAAACTTTAATTTGAGTATTAGAACAATACTGTACGCGGTATACAAATATGTAAATTAAAGTTTAATACTAAGTTTCATAGTGAATAATGTTAACCATAGTAAAGTGTGGATGAATAAGACTCAGTAATCAATTCAGTACATGATAGTTTCATATAACTCGGACTTTTAATATGAACTACGTAGGAAAATGCATGGCTCCAACAGTTAGATAAGTAGAGTATTAGAAATCGATGTTTGAATGAACATCTTATAATCGAATACTCCTAAGAATTTTTAGCACCTTTCACCACTTCAGTTGCTAATCTTTTTAACTCGTATACTGTTGAGAAGAACTTACATACAAATCCATACACTTTGTACAGAATTTTACGATGACATTCCTGTCCTTTTTGTACAGTTTTTTTTAAGTAAAAACAATGGTTAGGACGTATTAGGTTACATATAAACAAACGCAAATGTAGATGCTGTTTTTATGAAAGAGATTAAAAAACCAGGATAAATGTATCTTTGCATCAAATACTCCAGCCTCTAGAGTATATATCTTATCCAAAAAAGTAACAACCACAAAAATTAATACTAATAAAATCTAGCACTGAATCAAAAGCCTATAAGACAAAATTAAAAGCGCGTGAATCATTGATTATTCTTTAGTCAATAGTCACTGCTACATTTAGATTCTCATGATTATAAACTCAAATTTAGGTTTTCCTAAACATGGGGGGGCAGATTCGTCGCTATTCCAAACCGTTCGCCAGTTTCTGCTTGTTCATGATAGTATTAACACTTATTTTAAATGGGTCGTATACACATACATGATATAACAAGGATATTTAAGTCAGCAAACTTTGGAAACTTTATTTAATCACTTACCATTCATAATGAAGTATCAAAACGAAATCTAATGTTGACAGTCTCAATAACTTTAAATAGTGCTACTCGCACTGTACAAAATATTGATAGAATATCAATAATATTACAATAATTTCCATTAAAGTCATTTCTTATCTTAAAAATATAAATGCTAAAAAATACAATGATACACATTTCGAATCCAATTAGGCAAAATAATGAGAAACAATCAATTTTATGAACAATGATTTTATCAGACATAGCGTTATCCTAGCGAATTCTCCCTAGCTCTTTAGGACACGAGTACTGTTTGAGACATAGTATACTGAAACAAAATATTAGCAGAGTAACAGTGACACATTTACAACTATCAGGCATTCCTTTTCACTCGAAAACAATTAAAAAGCTTACACAATGTGGACACTGGAGACTAAATTACAAAGATGAAGCGAATGTATCCAACAATTAGGTAAAGAATAGTAAAAAACCAATATACACATTTTGAAAGACATTAACGTTATTAAAACATAAACAACAAACATACCAATACTTCAAGTATGTTGTGAATAACTTCATCCATTTCACGAATTTTTTTAGGGATGCTAGATCCCTTAAGTCCTTCAATATGTCCAATATGATCCAACCCCAAATAATGCAAAATAAGACCATCCCATGTATCAGGTGAGGTCATCAATGTCGAGATATAACGTGTTACATTTTCATCTACCTATAATATTAAAAATATTTAGCTTCAAGCGATTTTACTTCATAGAAGTCATTAACATAGAATGAATTTGTGCCTTCATAGGCCTGAAAGCTTTTAGGAAAGAGCTTTATCCAAGTATCATCCCCATAAAATTGAATTTTCCACTTATGATTTACCAAACGAGTTACCCAATTATCATCAACCATAGTTTCTGCATTTATGTTGTGCAAAATATCAACAAACTTCGGATTTCTCCCTGAGACGATTGCCTACATTTTAAAATGATATCCAAGTTGTTCAATAAACCAACCTTTATTCGCGGTAGTGTCACAGTAGGGGGTTGAACAATTGAAGCAGAACATGTGGCCGACTTGAGATTCATATACGAACGAAGTTTGACCCAATTTTCTGAGTACTTTGGTGAAAACAAAAAGTCTACTCTTAATGCGTCAACTATGACCATGACAAATTTATCAATCTTATATGTTTCTTCTACATCTCCAACTAAATAAAATCAAAATACTGATCAGAAATGAGACTAATCTTACTTTTGTCAACTTTTGTAGCTGGATCATTCGGCAGTAGACCACTCATAAATATAAAAAGACCAAATGAATATATGCCAAGTAGAAAGAGACATTCATAAACACTAATTTTTGTCAAGATCCCCATTTAATTACTCGTCTACTTTACGAATCTAAAATGGAAAATTTGCATCTGAAGGTTATAGAAGTTCAAAAATGCGTAAATAAGCACAACGACATAAGGAGTAAGAGTGAGGTGGAAAATTTTATAATCCCCACACTACACTTAGTTGTATGGCGGAATATATGGAATATATAAATTATGTTAACTTTTGAGGCAGAATTTAGCCAATATGTATGACAACAAAATAAGTACAAACGCATGTTAAAACACATAGTATGGTAATTAGTCTTAAAGTACAAGATATAATATCTAGTGACTATGTTCTGTCGCGTAGGTAAAGTAATGTTCAGTTGCAAAAATTTTATTTAGAATATTTCGAATTTGCAAAGATTGTAAATTTTCTTACCGTGACATATCACTACATAAAGACCAAAATAAATTTTGCTTTGAATAAACCTCTCCATCAAGATTTAGAAGTCTTCTCCGTGAATTCTGTAAAATATTTCCACAAGATAAAATACCATACCATAACAGGCTTTAATTATGTGAAAATCATAGGAAGTAATTCATACTCACCGATCACGTTATGCAAGTGAAAAGATAAAGTTACTTTTGTAGAGACTTCATTGATGTTATGAGTGTAATTAATAATAAGTAAAGAAAAATGTGCGATTGAGACGTACTTGGAGGCAGTAAGCTATCTTAAACTTAGTGTTAGAGGACTGCAAAATACACCTTCTAAACACCAAAATTTAGTATATTGCAAGGAAGATTAAAAGTCAAATGTAACGTTGATGCTTATAGTATTTAGGTCTAAGGTTTTCCCAATAAAATTTAAATGAACATAATATATTCCTAATCGCGTTCAACCATTAAAAACATGAATGATTTACTGTAGAAATGGAATAATTTGCAGTGTAAATTTTAAATCATCAATCAACTTTTAGAAATTTCATATAACTTCTAACTCGAATTCAAATAAAATTTGATAGGGTTTAAAGGTCGTATTGAGAACCAGCCCGAACTGGCAGTTAGGGACAGAATTTGAATTCGGTGTTAGGATTCAAAGTTGGATATTGAGGTTTAATATAGAAAACAGGTTTTACGACTGGTCTACCTCTACCCAAAAGCAAACCATGAATCTCAAATCCTACACATAGACCTTTACCCAAACACTTAATTTTAAATTTGACAGTAGCAGGAGATCCCAGTCCCAAGCCTTTGTCCTTGTTTCTAAAACACAGATCTCATTCCAAGTTCCAAACGTAAATATTAAAACGTTTACGTCAATATAACCAAGACCACCGAAATCTTAGTTGTCATTTAGTATACCTAAGGTATATTGTTGGGTGATGTTGAAGTCTTGAAAAATGGATGAGTTAATAAGCAAAATAAGTAATTAACACTAAACTATGTGGACAACTCTAAAAATTACCATGTGAAATCTCGAGCATACATGTGGTTCGAAAATACTCAGATTTTCTAGGACACTGTTTTAGAAGTCAGGATTAGTAAATAGAGTAACTTTTGAGCAACTGGGCGATATCGGCTATAATTTAATAAAGGTTCATCATCATTTAGATAAATGAATCGTTTACAGAAACTCTATAGCTGTTAACTTGGATTTAATTGGTGTCGTGTCACCCTTAACGTTGCAAAGTGCTAAAAGCTAAACCCACTCTAATGGAAGTTCCGAGGTCTTGTGATGGCCTTCAAGATCTAACAACGTTTTACCCGTTCATATGAACCAGAAAGAAGTTGACATTCAACGTTTTGGTGTACACCAAAACTAGATCACTCTAACTTGTTTCCACAGTGGTCTACAGCGCTATAGCGCTGTATTTCACTTAAAAGTAGAAAATATCGTTTAATTGGTTGAATTTAAAGTAAACAAAGAAGGTAGGTAATATTTAGGTTTTGTACTTATGCTGCTACTTTGATTTCATTTTTTTACTTCGACTGCTATGACAGTATAACAGTTGTCTGAGAAAGTCAAAATTGTCAGCTACTCATTATCACAATACAACAAGTATTATATAGAATAACCTACGTCTGGAAAACAAACTCTTCATTGAAAAGTCTTCCTCACGTTCCCTAATATTATATAAAGCGTTTGAGTAAACAAAATCACTAACAGCAATTTTATGATCATAGTATTGACAGACCTGACATTTTGATACTTAATAACAAAACAAGTGACTAAAAGTTTGAAAATAACCTTATACCTTTGTTCTCACACCAAAGCCTTACGCGTAGAAAACTATTGGGCGCGCCGTTTCTGAAGGTTGATTTTCAAGGATTTTTGTAAGTCAGTAGGACGTTAAAACACTATAAGACAAAATTAGCTTTCTCCAATTAGTACTGAACTTTTTGAAACTCGTTGAAGTAGGCCATCAGTCCTCTATTATACTTGTGAGATATATTTCTTACTAATTCGATGACTGATAATGTGAAAATTTTATGTCGTATGTCTTAGGTTTTCAGATGTGCGAATAAATAAGCTGGTCTGGACTAATCCTTGCATCACGTTTTTCAGCTTCAAAATACATATAGCATTTAAGAACCAAAGTGAGCTCAAATACATGGGTAGCAAACGGACAATATTGATTAGTACAGTATCTCAACCGAAAGTTGCAACTTTTGGTGCTGCATCAAACGACAATAAAGAGAATTTGAAAGTCTGCAGCACTATCAACCTAGTAACATGTATTTAAGAATAAATTATTGGTAATCAATAGAGAGATTCAACGGCTTCCTATTTTCTCCCGAGGCTTGGCAGTATTTTGTGCATCTACGGTTATCGTATCCCGACTGATGACGCAGTATCTACTTGTAGCTGCCTTACACAAACTTTTGACCCTCATACCTAAGCCGTTTATGACTGAGTATCAATGAGAAGACCCGAAGGTGATTTCCTTTAGGTTCCCTATATATGCTTCGAAATTAAAGTAATCAACTGGATTGAGTTCGTTATGGGATAAACGGTTTAGTTATTTTCTTGCCCGGGAAATTTAACTTTTTTCAGTTGTCTTCAGTCAACTCATCCACATTGACTGACCAGTTAATTGAGATAGCAAAGCTTTTGATTGCCATAACATTTGTCCATCAGATTACAGAACCGCTTGCAGAATAATATTACTGTTTTTTCTAAAACCCGTGTATAATACATCGTTATTACAATTTAACCAGAAAGAAGTGAAAATGTTGTTTTATAGTGGTGAATTATGCTTTTCGTAAAAATAAGTCAATTTTCCGATCTCACTATGCGCATCAAAGTTCAGTTAAAGTAGTATGTTATTCAGATGTGCGCTTCAATCTAAAGATTTTAATCGCTTGGTGTGTGGCATTTTCAAATCACCAACTATGATAGTTTAGTTAGCATAACCACAAGTGCAAACGCTCTAACACAAAGTCACCAGGAACATAAATTTGACAATGATAAATCCATCTTTTATTCAACAGTCCTTCGCCAGACTTGCACTTTCACAATAGCCATCAAAATTCCTCATTATCTAGTGTCTCTAAAATACTCGACTGCATATGAAAGTGATCTTAGACACATAATATAATGTTCACTACATACATTTTATAACCCTGTTACTTCTAGTGATAGTGTGCTCTGTAAGTATGGGGATGAAACCCATATTTATGATAAGACCCATGTGTATATGAACAGCAGTCGACTGTATCAAGAATTTAAAGTCCTCAGTGAGCAGTATGAACAACGAATTCTAACACACCTTTCAGATTGTTGTTCTTTTAGGACTCCGTTTACTGGCGTCAAACCATCTTAGAGAGTAACCGTAATAACATCATCTTTAGAAAACTCTGCTAACTTCTTCATAATATGTTTTGCCTATTGAAATTAGTAAAGATTAACAGGAAGGTACATAGACACCATATTATGCCAAGCTAGTACAAGAAATAAGTACTACATGGAACACAACAAATACTCTCAGAGTAGCAGCTATGTAAACTTATTAATCCGGTCACAATAAGAAAAATAGTCACTTCATGCCTTTGTCTACAGATCATAACTTTATGCACAATCATGTCCAGATCACAGATCTAGGGAAATTCGGTTTGTCAGAGCTTCAACTAACAGATTTAAAACCAGTTAAAATTCTAGTGCTAGAACCAAAAAATAGCTGAAATGATGACTACGTTTCGATACTGAGTGAGAACATTCTGTTTTCCAGACCTAGACAAAATTCATACGTATGTGCCTGCTTGGACCGACCTGAAACTTTATGACCATCTGCGACGCACCTTGCCGAGTTATGATGGTTTGACGGCCGGCAATAAGTTTTTTTATATATATAACCAGCGTCTTCATGAGTTCTGTTCTTCAGTATTTGAGAGGCTTAAAATGTCGTCACTAAAATTAAAGCAGTCTCGAATTCCAGTATTTTGGTATATATAACAAGGTCTAAACTGTATGGAAGTGAAAATGTAAAACTTAGAAAGTGTTCCTCAAGGGTTTCCTGTGGCTAGTCATAACCATTCATTTCTTCAACCTTTTAGTCATGTAAGATCGATTAAACGATAAGCAACATATGTGGTAAGTTCAAATCCCCCAGAAAATCTCGTATAGAAAGCAGGTTCTCTGAAGAACATATTAGTACCTGTACGTCTTTATTTTACTAAGATCAAATACATTATAACAATAGTAGGTTGGGATATAACAAAAAAATACATATTTCAACCATAGGACGTTTCAGAACTTCAAGTCTGATAAGTACTAGAAACTTTTGAACTATGATTAGAGTTTAGGTAACCAAGTATCGGGAAGTTTTGATAGACTGCACGGTATTGTTGACCCACAATCGTGTAAGTTAACCAACGCTCTAAATACAAGTAGTTAGCTCTTGTCTATAAGACTGAAGTACCTGAAAAGGTTCGAGGAATAGTGGTCACGTTGGTCTTTAAATGGCATGAATCCAAATTAGATTACATTTTGAAGGGCCCAGGGTGGCTATAACAAAATATTCCAACTAACTGATAAGAATTATGGGTCTAATATGTTCTTTAAATCCTATATTACAAACCAGGAACATCCTGCTTAACCTTGTCTCGAAACAAACGCTTGAAATAAAACTGCCATCTTGAAAGCCGTTGAGTGCTTCAAAGACTCTTGCTATTGACATTCTCTATACTGATGGGAACTGAAGTCCCATGCCTTACTTTTTTAAAGAGCAATCCGTGTAACACTGACGCAACCTTAGCCAAGTGAATATAAAGCACCTGTAGCCTACACCTAAGGATAAATAGGCAATCATTATGACAAAATAAAATCAGTAACTTATAACAGGAAGAAATTTTTAACCTCTTCAGTTGAATCAACTAGCCTGGTTCGAAACCATGGATCATCCTTCTCTGCAAGTTTCATCCGAATTTCGAAAGTCATTCTTGCAGGTGTTCCCCTGCTGACTTTCCATATTATAGGTTGATACAGTAGTTCACAAAAAGATAATCCTCTGGGGAATTTAGTTGTAAACATTTAGAAACATAGGGCGAGTAACGCCTACATTAATTAAGGCGCTCGCCAGAATCCGGTTTGGAAAGGACAGATGTCTTTAAGATTAGTATACGTCCTGGCGATTATCATCTGTTATTCAATTCAATTTTTCTTCGAACGAACATTTTTATAGAGTTTCAAGTAGGTTCTGAAGTGGGGGAATTCCCCTGGTTAACAATTTGCTGTGAAAGTCAAGACTTTCGTGGCGGCAGGTAACCATCATTCTATTGGTGGAAGTAATCGGATTATTAGTGAATAGATTTTCATTTAGCTCGCGAGACAACACACAGTAAAGCGAGAGGTCACCTGTTCAAACATACAAAGCTTTTCAACATTCAATATAAGATAGTAGGAAGTATGCTTATGCAAAATAAGGAAATGAATGAACACTTGAGCTCTATTATTTTGACGTATGCTTGGTTTTTTGGGGTCAACTATTAACCAATCGACCTAAGTTTTTACAAAACTGACAGATCGGTGACTAGATACGGTCTGTCTTTCCATATTTAAATGTGGGACCGACTTTAGCATTCTTTCAACCCCTAGTGAATCAAATTTAGAAAGGGAACGTGTTGAGCGGCAGTTTGAGTAATTTTTAAGGTTTCCACAACGGATGACTATAGTCGTGTATGTGTCCATCAGAACCCAGTGAATCACCAGATCTGAGGCTAACGAGCGATTGAAGAACAATCTTCTCAGTCATACATATTGTGGTATGTCAATAGTGTAGTTATGAGAGGTGTTTTTAACAATGACCTTAGAATTGAACTCGCTAAAATACATTAATAAAGTCTCAATTTTGATCGAAACATATCCAGGTAGTGTACCTTAATTTTTTGGAACAATAATCGCGGACTCCATCATTATGTTTTGCTCTTCGTTTAATGTACGAAAACAACCGTTGTGGAAAAGTAAAGCTATCGTGTGCCAATTGTCCTTCGTAAGTGCTGTGGTTTTTGGCTACGATCTTTGGATACAAATTACGGATTTATTCGTATTCACACAAGTTATTAGTAGCCTGTTAACAAGAAGAAGTGCTATATGTTCCTCCTACACCTCAGTAAATTCCGAGTTTCCTTGTCAATCTATGTAGGGCGATGTTATAGAACACGCGTTGATCATGGGATGTGCAGCGATCTCAATAACTTGAATTTGAAAGCAGAGATATACTGTATAATACGTTTCAAGAACCTAACTTGCAGTGAAACTCAATCACTTTCCTATTGGAAGTAGGCATTGAATGTCGGAGACAACATCCCAATGATGTGTAAGAGCAAGGTCTATCAATGATGTCTTGTATCCTAAGCCGAAATCTGTCAGATCGCGATCAAAAAATCCATCTGAAATTGTAGGCTTTATCCTTTTGATGTGTGGAACGTTGAAATATCGGACAATGAAACAACAGTCAGCCTTACTCTAATTACAGATATGATTTTTGACAAAATCTTCAACAAAACAACGTGGACTACGGTGTACTCCTCCTATAGTCACCAGCTCATGTCTAGACTCAATTTTAAAACAAGCTACACCATGTGTACTACTATCGTTCGTCTCTTATCTACTCGGTTGTACACGAACGTTATCTCTAACATGTGATAATATGCCTACTCCTTTGCAATTTATAACTCTGGCACTTCTAATACATATTTAAGTTGTCACGCCTAATTAGCACATAAAGACAAACACCACATTCATAAAAGTAGTTTCTGATGGCAGATTTCATTAACTCCAGATCGTGTGCATTTCGTTTAGTAGGGTTACTTTTTTATGGTTCCA